GTCTAAGAAAAGAATGAACTATTCCCACCGTTTCTTCAGAGATTGGTCACCCCGTCCTCTTAATAGACGTTGACAATTTTGGGGAAATCGGGATTTTTGGTGCGGTTTGAAGGGGGAGAGGAATGATTTTGGGATTTTAACCGTTAGTTTAGCTAATAGGCATGGGTTAGGCTTCGTTAGGTGCAATTTTGGAATACTAATTGTTATCTGGTTTGGGCTTTTTGTTGAGTCCGTGTGTTTTAGTTTTTGTAGGGCCTGAAAGATAAGTTTTGTGTTCATATGATTAAAACTTAAATCATTTTTATTAAATAATAGTTAGGATGGTTTTTCATTAAATAAACATTAGTCCAAGTCCTTTTTATTAACGTTCCATTTTGAAAAATCAAATTGAGGGTTATTTTAATAAACTTTGTTTAATAGGAACCTTCGAACTTGCTCCAAATATGTGAGATTTAATTCCTCTTATAAATCTTTCACAACTCAATCACCAAAATTTCAAGTGGTTACTAATTTTCTTGTGAATGTAGCATTTGTGTGATGTGTATGTACAGCAGCAGATGACTGCAGATCAAGGCAACGGTGTATTTCCAGAAATTGTGCCTTATTCAAACTATTCATTCTGCAACATCCATTTTCCATGTCCATCAACAGAGAAGAAAGTGCTTCGGAGTTAACATCATAAGATAAGTGTGCAATTAGTATGGGTTTCGTATGTAATGTGACGCCTAAATAGTATTTAAAACAATTGTAATCCAATATGATGATACATTGAATGATCAATAGCAGGATTCATGTCCCCCTTACCTGGTACAGCAGCTATATAGGATTGTTATGTTCTCAAATTCGCTAACAAGATGTACACTGATTTATAGGTTTGTCTGGTTTTTGCGGAAGGCGCCTTTGGAAACTGACAGAAAAATTACTGCTGTTTCTGGACTGCAAAACCAATTTCCCTTGGTTACAAAAACAGACTGAAACAAGTCAATTCCTCCTTTCTATAAAAATTTGAATTCAACTCACCGGTGTTAACGTTAATGGTGTGTTCAGAAAATGAACCTCAAGATTAGCAATGACACGAGGCAGGATAAATCACATCGTGTAGAAAAAGATATGTAGGCTAAAAAATATATTTGTTATTGATACGTGAATGTGGAAAAAATGAAAGAGAATGGTTCTTTTCTCATTTTCTTTCTCTACAAGATTACAAGGATATATATACATGATACAAGTGTGTAGGTAGGACAAGGTAGCCGTCCTAGTGTGTAGGTAGGACAAGGTAGGACGGCTGTAGGACGACTTGACGGCTGTAGGACGGCTAGTGTGTAGGTAGGACAAGGTAGGACGGCTGTAGGACGGCTTGACGGCTGTATGACGGCTAGTGAATAATATTATATACAATTACATAAGGACTCCAACCATATTCCTTATTTGTCTAACACTCCCCCTCAAGTTGGAGAGTGGATGTCAAGAACTCCCAACTTGCGTAACATACCCGAAAACTTTTCTTTCCCAAGAGGTTTGGTAAACAAGTCTGCCAACTGTTGTGCCGTACCCACATGCTTGGTCTCTATTGTGCCATCTACAATCTTATCTCGTATAAAGTGACAATCCATCTCAATGTGACGAGTTCATTCATGAAAAACAGGATTGGCAGCTATATGTAACGCTGCTTGATTATCACAAAATAAAATGGAAGGACCATCCAAAGGAATGTTCAAATCCTTCAACAAAAAACGAAGCCAAACTATCTCGCAACAAGCACCTGCCATGGCCCTATATTCCGCCTCTGCTGAAGAGAGCGAAACGGTTTTCTGTCGTTTCGTCCGCCAAGAAATCAAAGAACCGCCCAAGAATACATAATACCCAGTAGTCGAACGGCGAGTGATAAGGCAACCTGCCCAATCAGAATCACAAAACGCAGTTAACTTGGTCTGGTTGTCAGAACGAAATAATAAACCTTGACTTGGAGTAGCCTTCAAATAACGAACAATACGAAGCGCAGCATCCATATGAGATATCCTTGGCTCGTGCATAAGACGGCTTAGAACATGCACAGAATAGGTGATATCCGGCCGAGTGATAGTGAGATATATTAACCGACCTACTAATCGTCGATACTTTTCAGGATCCTTGAGAAGTTCTCCTTTATCAGATAATTTTGTGTCATCCATAGGAAAAGCAATGGGTCGTGCTCCCAAAAAACCATAGTCCTTGAGAATTTCTAATGCATACTTGCGTTGAGAAATATAAATCCCTTGTTTGGAACGAGAAACCTCAATACCCAAAAAATATTTTAAATCACCAAGGTCTTTTATCCGAAAATGATCACGGAGAAAAGACTTCAGAGAATTAATGGCACTAGCATCATTGCCTGTAATCACAATATCATCCACATAAATGAGCAAAGCTGTGAAAGAAATACCAGACTTTTTAGTGAACAATGAATAGTCAGCTTTGGATTGTTGAAAACCGGCAGAAATGATGGCACTAGTGAATTTGGCAAACCATTGGCGAGAAGCCTGCTTAAGACCATAAAGTGACTTGTGAAGGCGACACACAAGATTCTCCCCCTGTCGCCGAAGACCAGGAGGAGGAGACATATAGATTTCTTCATGTAAGTCACCATGTAAGAAAGCATTATTAACATCAAGCTGATGAAGAGACCAAGACTGACTAGCAGCAAGAGCAAGAAGACAACGCACCGTAATCATCTTAGCAGTAGGAGAAAAAGTGTCATGATAATCAATACCTTCAGCTTGAGTGAAGCCTTTGGCAACCAAACAAGCTTTGTAGCTGTCAATAGAGCCGTCGGAATTGTGCTTGAGTTTGTACACCCACTTACAACCAATGGGAATTTTGCCAGGGGGCAAGGAAGTTAAAGTCCAAGTACCATTAGCATGTAAAGCTTGAAGCTCCAATTGGGGTCAGTGGCAGCCTCTGCAAAGGAGGAAGGCTCCACAGTCCGACTGACAGAGTTAATGTAAGAAAAATGCCTGGGAGAGTAACAGTGATAAGAGAGAAAATTACAAAGTGGATATCGCGTACCTTGTGTAGAACCGGGTTGCGAAGTCGAAGATGGGTAGGATGGTAGAATCACCTGCGAGCAAACGTAGTCTTTTAAATAGGATGAAGGTTTATGGGCACGGGAAGAGGTGCGGGGAAGGGGATGATTGGTAGGTAGTGGGGGGGTAGGGATGTCCGTGGGTAAAGGGGCATGGGGAGGAACGGGTAATGGGGCAGCAAGGGAATCTGTGGGAGGCGTGGAAGGGGACGAAGGTGGAGGAGGGTGAGGCGTCGGGGCAGGAAGTGGTGGGTTATATGTAAAGTCCAGAGGGGGTGGGATGGGTAGGGTAGGCGAAGAGGATGGGATAGAAGGGTGAGAAACGGCATAAGGGAAAGTAGTTTCGTGAAAGATGACGTCTCGACTAGTGAAAATGCGGTGATTGTCGAGATCGTAAAGGGTATAGGCCTTTTGTCCATGAAGATAACCGAGAAAAATGCAACGATGAGCCCGAGGGGAAAATTTGGTGGTGGGAGTGACAGAGGTGGCATATGCTAGACAACCAAAGACGCGGAAGTGGTCATAAGATGGGGTTTTCGAAAAGAGAACCTCAAATGGGGATTTATGATGGAGAAGACGGGTAGGGAGACGATTGATGAGATAAGTAGCGGTAAGAACACATTCCCCCCAAAACTTGATAGGAAGATGGGATTGAAAACAAAGGGCGCGAGCGGTTTCAAGAAGATGACGATGTTTTCTTTCAACAACGCCATTTTGTTGGGGGGTATAAACACAAGAAGTTTGTAAAAGCACCCCATGATCAGAGAAAAAACTATGAAGAGATAAAAATTCACCACCATTGTCAGTACGAATGCATTGGATGGTAGTGACATAAGCAAAAAAATCCTTAATTAATTGTTGAGTGTCGGATTTATGTTTCATGAGGAAGACCCACGTAAAGCGAGAAAAATCATCCACAATGGTTAAGAAATAATGAGCACCAGAAAGAGAAGATTGACGATTCGGGCCCCAAATATCACAATGAATTAAAGCAAAAGGGAAAGTTGATGAAATTGAACTCAAAAGAAAAGGTTAACGAGTTTGTTTTGCCAACGGACAAACATCACAAATATGACTAGAATCAAAAGTACAATTAAGAGAGCTAGATGCTAAAGCTTGCAAACGAGTGGAGGAGGGGTGACCAAGACGCCTATGTCAGAGGGAGGAGGGGATGGTAATGATGTTGCAGAGAGGTTGACGGGTGGGGAGAGAAGAGGTAATGGCCACAAGGTAATACAGATCGCCACGTCACTTACCCACACCAATCATCGCCTTCGAAACCAAGTCCTGCAAAACACACCAAGAAGGAAAGAAGGTTATGGAACACGATAATCCATCTGTAAGTTTACCAAACGATAAAAGGTCTACTCGGAAATTAGGGACACATAAAACATCCTTCAAAGTAACTGATGAATTTAAAGGAAGAGTGCCGGTAAAAGTAATGGGAGCGGAATCACCACTAGGCAAAGAAACAGGCGGCAAATGTGAAGGAGAACGATTAGCCAAACATGAGGCGGAAGAAGTAATATGATCCGTAGCACCACTGTCAAGAATCCATTGACCATGACGAGAGGTGACAGGTAACAAACCTTGGGCAAAATCAGTAGTGAGCACGGCATTGGCCTGAGGAGGGGTGGTGGTGTCACGTAGAGCAGCTAGAACACGGGAGTGCTGCTCGGCAGAGAGGTCAGGCATGGCAAGCTGCAAGTCATGCAAAGTGGGCTGGGCCCCGTGCACTTGGTGGGTCGCTGGAGTAGAAGAGGAGGCGGGGGCCTGGGTGCCTTGCACGTGATGGGCCTGGGTGAAATTATGGGGCTGGGAAGCAGAAAACCGTGGCTGCCGGGGAGGACTGGAAGGTGCATGGCTGCGGGAAGAACTAGAAGCAGTGGCACGGCACGGTGGTCGCCACGGTTGGCCATGGAGGGGATGGCCAACGGGATAGCCATGAAGTTTATGGCAGGTGTCTCGGGTATGATAATCAAAATTGCAGTAGGTGCAGTGGAGGGGAGGACGAGCTGAGGAGGGACGGGACGGGCCACGAACAGCCATGGCAGCAGGTTGATCGACAGAGCGGAGAACGCCCAGGGAGCGTTGTTTTTCAGCTTGAGACACCGAGGAACAGGCCTGACGAACAATGGGAAGGGGATTCATTAAAAGAATCTGGTCACGAACAGCAGCAAAGGATTCGTTGAGGCCCATTAAAAATTGCATGAGTTGTTGACGGTCATGCTTGGCGTTGCAAGAGCACGTGCAGCCATCATTATAAGAAGCAAGCTCATCCCAGAGAGCTTTCAGGCGAGTAAAATAAGCGGAGATAGAAGAAGAACCTTGAGAAATTGTAGCAAGTTCCCGGTTGAGTTGGAAGATGCGTGGAGCATTACTCTGAGAGAAGCGTTCACGAAGATCATCCCATACAGCTTGGACAGAGGTGGAAAAAAGCACAGATTCTTGAAGGTCAGGTTCCAAGGAATGCAGAAGCCAAGAAAGAATCATGTCATTGCAACGACGCCAAGCCGTGTGAGCATCAGGGTCGTCGGAGGAAGAAGGTTCTTGGATATCGCCAGTGATGAAACCAAGTTTATTCTTGGCACTTAAGGAAAGCTGCATGCCACGGGCCCAGGATGTGTAGTTATCACCATTCAACTTCTTGGATACAAGGACAAGATTCGGGTGGTCGGAATGATGAAGGGAAAAAACACCATCGGAAGAAGAAGAGTCAGCCATGGGAACGGCAGAGAAAGCTGCCGAAAAAAATTAGGGCTAGGGTTATAAACCTGCTCTGATACCATGTAGAAAAAGATATGTAGGCTAAAAAATATATTTGTTATTGATACGTGAATGTGGAAAAAATGGAAGAGAATGCTTCTTTTCTCATTTTCTTTCTCTACAAGATTACAAGGATATATATACATGATACAAGTGTGTAGGTAGGACAAGGTAGCCGTCCTAGTGTGTATGTAGGACAAGGTAGGACAGCTGTAGGACGACTTGACGGCTGTAGGACGGCTAGTGTGTAGGTAGGACAAGGTAGGACGGCTGTAGGACGACTTGACGGCTGTAGGACGGCTAGTGTGTAGGTAGGACAAGGTAGGACGGCTGTAGGACGGCTTGACGGCTGTAGGACGGCTAGTGAATAATATTATATACAATTACACAAGGACTCCAACCATATTCCTTATTTGTCTAACACATCGGTGATCAGAAGAGACAATGAGGCCAACTCCATGGTGATCCGATAGTATTCGTACTACTTCAAGTTCCGCTTTGCCAACGCTTCCCAAGTTTACGACACAACCGGCTTTACAGTGAACTGAAATGAAATTAAGAATTGATAAACTAAATTGATAAACTATTCCAATGAGAAATCAAGCATATTTTTCTTTGTTAGTGTTAAATTTCTATACAACATTTTAGATTTTGTAAGGAAGAGGAATTGGATTTTGGCTTTTGGCTTTTGGATTTTCTGGGAAGAGCAGAGAATTGCAAAGAGAATTTCAGATGAAATGATATTTCGTCGTTCGCACAATGACGGTGGGTTTGAGGGTGTAGGATTCTCTCCTTCCTAATCTCCCTCTCCTCCTATTTGAACGGTTATGGTTAAACCATGTCAACGTTTTGTGTTAATTTTTTAATGGCCAAAAGAAAACAAAAAACAATATGTAAGAGGAGGAGAGGGAAAGGGATGAGAATAGGAGGGGAAAGAATCCTACTTCGGGTCTGAGACCTTTACAAAAGGAACGAGAGAACACTCTCTCTTACACCAGCAAGATATAATCCTAACCATCAAAATAAGTCATCCTATGAGATGCTTACATATGGTATGAGCTATGACTCTTCCCAAGTTTACGACGCAGCAGGCTTTACAGTGAACTGAAATGAAATTAAGAATTGATAAACTAAATTAATAAACTATTCCAATGAGAAAACAACCATATTTTTCTTTGTTAGTGTTAAATTTCTATACAACATTTTAGATTTTGTAAGGAAGAGGAATTGGATTTTGGCTTTTGGCTTTTGGATTTTCTGGGAAGAGCAGAGAATTGCAGAGAGAATTTCAGATGAAATGATATTTCTTCGTTCGCACAATGACGGGTGGTTATGTGGGAGTAGGATTCTCTCCCCGCCTAGTCTCCCTCCTCTCCTATTTAAACGGTTATGGTTAAACCACGTTAACGTTTTGTGTTAATTTTTTAATGGCCAGAAGAAAACAAAAAGCAATATGTGAAAAGAGGGGAGAGAAGGGGATGCGAATAGGAGGGAAGAGAATCTTACTTCGGGTCTGAAACCCTTACAAAAGAGAAAAGGAACGAGAGAACACTCTCTCTTACATCAGCAAGATATAATCCTAACCATCAAAATAAGTCATCTTATGAGATGCTTACATATGGTATGAGCTATGACTCATCCAATTAAGACAACTATAAAACTGAGTGGTACGCACAGACTATGGTCCATTAATAATCCACTTACAAGCTCAATATCAAATATTAAATCTATCTTATTAATGCCCAAGTAATCTGCAAAAGTGTTTATACTCATTCGTATCCACTGCCTTTCAATAAATATGGCCACATTAATAAATAGCTCGTGAGATTGAATCCATTGACTAAGATTGTGAAGCAAAAAATAATTTTGAAGATAATTAAGCTGATGGGATAAATCAATGATGACTTACCTGCATTAATTATAAGATGGTGACCGGCAACAATGCCTTTTTCGGATTTGTTCTATGTCGTTGAAGCTAGCACTTCCAGGTCCATTTGGAGCTACTTCATCACGATATTCATTTGTTCGTTTCAGGATTTTTAGTGTTTGCTTGAGTTCTTCCAAATCTTGCTTGTACACCAAACGAGCGCCACACTTTTTCACATTACTCAAGTCTGCTTTTATTTCGCTCGCTCCAATATTACTACCAAGGTAAGTTTCGAATAAAAACTGTTCCTGATGACAATATTTACGAGGCAAATAAAATACCCAAAGGTGTTCTGACACAAGAGACCCTATTTTGCAGGTCAAATACTTATAGTTGAACTGAATTTTGAAATAATCATAATGACGAAGGGCAGCTAGATTTGCCAAGTTTTTCTTATGATCTTCAAAAACAACACAAAAGGCAATCCCGAACCAGTTGGTGCATGATGGTGGAGGAAGCTCCACATTTACTGACTGTCCCACTCTTTGATTACTGAACCACTCTGGAATTTCATTTCCAGGGCATACAACTTTGTCATAAAGTGAGATTCCCTGTAGCAGAAGAAAGATCAATTATTGAGAAGAAGGGGAGACAGAGAGACAGAGAGAGTACCTGAGTGGCAAATTTTAGAATCCTTGAGAGTATTGTATCAATCCAGCCTTCATCTTGGACCAATGCAATGCAATTCAGACAAATGAACCCAAAATCATACAAATTGGAGAATCTGCTGAACAACTTGGATGGATCCGACAACCTTTTTAAGGAAGTACAATTGCATACATTTACCCGAAAACAGCTCTTTGATGGAAGAGGTGGCAATTTTTGAAGGCTTTTGCAACTCTCCAGATCAAGATAGCAAAGCTTAGAAAGGAGTCTAATGCTTTCAGGTAGACTGGCGAAATTATTTTCACTAAGATCCAATTTTACCAGAAAGGACAAGCAGCCAATATCATGAGGGACATCCCCCTCTCGGAGATTACAGTCGCTTAGACTTAAGAATGTCAAATAGCATAAACGATTTAGAGAATACAACACCAAACTCCAGCAAGGAGGATCAGGGCGACTCTTTCCAATTCCTAATAACCGGAGAAGGCCCCTCCCCTCCCTTGTTTTGGCATCCAATCCGTCAAATTCTAGATATTCAAGATTTTTCATACCCACAAGCGGCTCTGTCATAGTGGCTCCTAATATAAGCGTCTCTAAGTGATCCATGTCTCTTGGGAGTTTGTCAATCTTTGAGCATCCACGCACATCGAGATATCTAAGAGACTTCAAATTACAAATAGCCCTTGGAAGGTTCAAGAGATTTTTGCAATTCCTTAGGCTCAAATGAATAAGGCCAACCACATGTTCAATTGATGAAGGCACTTTCTCGATCGCAGTCCCTCTTAAGGAAATCCAGGACACATTCTTCATCTGCTCCCCAAATTCTGGAATCTTTTTCACATTTGAGCAGCCAGCAAGACAGAAAGATTTAAGAGAATCCATTTCAACCTCATGTGGAAGGCACTTAATGGCTTCACAGCCATAAAGGTCCAGAACTTCTAGTCTTTTGAGGACTGCAATAGACGGGTGAATCTCAACTAAATTCTTACAATCCTCAAGATTCAACCTCTCAAGATTTGGAAGACCATTGAAATCTGGGGTACTCATCAATTTATAGGAGTAGCTAAGATCAATATATTTCAAGTTGGGCAAGTCCTGTAAACATCGATAAGGTTCAGATCATACATTTAGCTTCTACAACCTTAAAGTTCATTCAAAATAATGAATCAATAAATGATTATTTTGTAAATTAAGTAACATTTATTCAATACTACTACTACTACCTTTTTTCCCTCCCATAGTCGAACAAGATTGCTATTACGCATGTTAAGTTGAGTCAGCAAGTGCGGATGAAAGCTCATTGGAAGAAAATTAGAAGGATACCAACTCCAATTTATAATTCTCAAGGAACATGGAAGAAATTTGGGGCCTGAAGAAATAATCAAATTATCGAATTCCAAAAACCTCAATCCATGCATCTTAGAGAACGCTTCGCAATTCCACTGGCGTACCTCCTCTACTTCGGGCAAGCATAAGGATATAGCTTCAATTGTTCTCGACCCCTAACAATTAAGAAAAAAAACACTAATTAATTCCACATTCAAATCTAATATATCATGTTAACGCAAATCATATCTTTTTTTCGAACTTGCTACTTAATTAATGTCCTTACCGAATTACTCATGAATACATGAAAAATGTCATTGGAAAGCCACAACCTACTCCGTAGACCAGACTCTTCAGACTCCTGACTAACAATTGTCCATGCCATTTCTTGTATCAAATCATGCATCCAAACATTGTTTCTGTATTCATGACAGAGAAGAGATCTCTCAATAAGTAGATCTATCATGATACTACTAGAAATTCCAAAAGAATCGTCTAGTGTTCGAATAACTTGTTTCACGCACTTCCCTTTGTGGAAACATGCAATATCAAGAAAAATTCTCTTCTCCATCCTTCCTAATCCATCATAACTTATTTTAAGTTTATCAAAAATTGTTGGATTAGGAAGTTTCTTTAGATTATGTCGTACACTATTCCATGCATCTAGACCTCTCTCAAACAAAGCTGACCCCAGAGTTTCAAGAGCTAATGGAAGGCCTCCAGCATGATTAATGAAATACTTGGCGAGTTCCAGAAAATCTTCCTCAGGTTGGTCTTTTTTAAAGGCATGCAGGCTAAAGAGCTTAAGTGCTTCAGCATCATTCAACCCCTGCACCTTGTATGATGTTGCTATACCATGTTGGACTAGCAAACGCTGATTCCTAGTTGTAACGATAATTCTACTCCCCATACCAAACCAACCATGATTTCCAGCCAATACTTTGAGTTGGTTTAATTCATCCACATCATCAAGTACGAGAAGAACCTTTTTATTGCGTAAGAACTTGTTAGTGAAAATGCTTCCACACTCTTTATCACAAATTTCTGCGATCCTTTCCTTCAAGCTTTTTCGAAGATCAACTAGAGTAGGATCTCTTGCACAAACCTCTCTAACATTGTCAAGAAAACAATGAACTTCAAAATGATGGCAGATTTTATCAAAAACTAGCTTAGCAAGGGTTGTCTTGCCTATGCCACCCATCCCCGTTATCCCAATAAAGCGAACATCATTGGCATCATGAGCTAATAGCAAACTCAGTTGCTCAAGTGCAAAGTCAGTTCCGACTAACTTTTGTGAGGGATCTAACAACGTGAACGTAGCTTGCACTTTTCGCCAGACTGTATTGACGATTTTTTCGATAAGCTCTCTTTCAGATCTACAAGGAAGAAAAGTAAAATAAGCAATCAACGAAAGATAAACAAAGCATTCTCGTTTGACTCCATTAAGAGATATGGGAGATTAATTGTCCATGCATGCTTACTTAAAATTCTTCAAATGCCACCCAGAAATTTTGGATACTTTTTTCAGATCAGCCCTCCACTGGGTCACCTTCTTTTTGTCTTCGGTACTAATGTACTTTTCTTCATGCTCAGCGAAAGCTTTGGCAAAAGACCCCCTCTGATTTCCTACGTCGGAGGGATCCACGTTATAAAAAATTGGCATAAGTGCGTTCTTGATTTCCATGCATTGAACAATGTTTGAGAGTTCGTCCAAGCACCATTTGGAAGAAGCATAGTTTGGAGAGAGAACAACGATTACTGTATGCGATGCTTTGGTAGCACTTAGGAGCTCTAGAGGAATACTTGTTCCTCTTTCAAGCTCCCGGTCGTCAAAGAAAGTTGTAATCCCTTGTCGTTGCAATTCTTTGTGTAAATGGGAGACAAAACCCTTACGGGTGTCTACACCCCTGAAGCTCAAAAACACGTCATAATTCCATCGAGTAGCTGATTCATCTGAAAGAAGAGATGTAGAGGCTCTTTGGGTGCTCAAGGCCATCGGAGAAAACTGTTCCTGGAAATTGGGTTCTGCAAACAGTATTGAACAAGTAAACAGACAAGAGATTAATGTTTTATTTTTTTCAAACAACAAAATAATTAAATAAACTTCAAATCTTCTTTTGGTAAATTTAAAAGATGCAATTTTTCTTAGTAACTAAAGAGACTCACTGCGGTCAGATATCTTAATCAGCGAGCACACATATTTGACAATTCGTCCTCGATCACTCAGTTTAAGCCTTTCAAATTCAGTTGCCGGAAATTGGGTTCTACAAACAGAAACAGGACTCAACGAACAAGTAAAAATGATCAGTGAAGAGGAAACTGGTAGTGGCTTTCTTTTGGACGGTGGTGGTCAGGACAACTCTGCACCGTGTGTGCACAGTCAGAGCAGAAGAGGGAGAGCGTGAGGGAGGGGAGAGATAGTGTCTGGGGTTGGGTGAGAGAAAGCAGGGGGAATTTTGCTGGTGGGTGAGTGGTTTCCTCAAAGGGGAAACCCTTATTTAAAGACAGTAAGGCCTACGAAAAGACAAACTCAAAAGCAGATATTTCTTTCCCCAAAAATAAACCACCGAGTTCACATGCACTACAGGCTACAGGTGTGTGTTCTCATCAAACAATCCTGTGTAAAAACTTTACCGGTTGGTATCCTAACTTAAAATGAGTGTGGTTTCTTCGTTACAAGTCTGAATTGGTCTAGTTTGTGCTCACGGGTTCGCGTTGACAAGTACCTTTAGAAAAAAATACTAGGAAACAAGAAATATCATTAATTTAGGGGATGATGTACCATATGACGGTCACACAACACACCCAATGCACTCTTCCACTTCATTATCCAATTTATATTCTATGGTTGAGATCTCCATCCAATTCTCTGTTCGATTCCAAGATAACGAAAGCGTCACTCTTTGGTACTTCATGATCTCCAATCCTCGTCCCTATCTCATCTGGACCCCCATTCCCACTAAACTTGCACTCCATATACTCTGCATAAGAGGGATATAATATAAGTCTTGCAAACAACGCAGTTTGGATGGTGCTGCGCCTTATAGCAGGATATGTGGTAAGGGCTGTGACTGTCATCTCCAGGAGCAGAAAACTCAAGATCAGTAATTGGAAGGTTACAAGTGATGCAAACAAAACGTTCAGGATGCCAAAAGTTCCAAATGCATTCTAAATACCGCCCATGCCTAATATTCCTGTGCAGCCAGCACATATCCTGAATCCATCGACACATGGTGGATGAGAATCGAAGTTTGAACCTCCTAGAAGGCCCTCAGCAAACTCATCATATAGTTCATGGTCATGCTCCTCTAACTGACGTTCATCCCTTGTTGTGACAATGATTCTGCTACCCAAACCAAACCAGTTTTTGTTTCCAGCCACTCTTGCTAGTTGGCCTAACTGATCCACACCAAAAGCGAGAACCTTTTTGTTATAAAAACATTTCTTTGTCATTACACTACCAGCATAATCGTCCACAACTTGTGTTTTGGATTTCAGAACAGAGGAAAGAAGCTGATTGGAGGAGACCGTGTGTTGCAGAAACCTTTCCAACATCAGCAAGAAAATACTTACTTCAAAATAATGGGAAAATTCGTCATAAAACCGTCTGGCGGTGAACTTCTTACCTATCCCAGCTTTCCCACATATGCCTGTAAAACGAACATCATTTGCTTCTAGATCCAAAAGCAAATGTAATTTTTTCAGTCTGAAATCAATTCCCGCCAACTTCCTTGCAGAACCTAACAATTTGAATGGGGGATGCACTTTGTTACACACTATTTTGACATTTTGTTGATAAGCTCAGTCTCATAACTGCAACACAGAAAATGAAGTAATCGTCAAACACTTGCTTTCTTTGATAATAGGAATATCATAAATCATTTAAGTACAACAAATTTTCATTTGTTTGTTCGTACCAATAGTCATCTGACTTCATCCCATCTATAACGCTCACTTTCTCTAAAGCACGTCTCCATTCTTGCGCCTTTCTCATGTCTTCGATAAAGTTTCTTTCATGCTTGTCAAAGACTGCTCCGAAAGTTCCTTTTTGTTCTCGAACAAGGGAGGGCTACACCATAGAATATGGAATGATTGTATTCCTTACTTCCTTGCATTTAAGTATGTGTAAAAGTTCATCCAAGCACCAAGTAGAAGAAGCATGGTTTGGCGACAGAACAATGATTGTAAACTGTGATTCTTTCGACAGCAGTCGAGAGAGTTGAAGAAATATTGGTGCCTCTTTCATTTCCCGAATTGTCCCTGAAAGTCGTAATTGCTTACCGCACCAGATTGTTGTACAGTCCGTGAAAGTCTTGCGGGTGTCTTTACCCCTAAAACTCAAGAACACATCATACTTTCATCGAGGAGGAGCAGGATCAGATACGGAGGCTTTTCTTGCTCGAATCCATTGAAAAATGGTTGTTGAAATCTGCTCCAAGTTAACAACCAATTAAACAAGCTCAGTGGAATAGTAGCTAGAGTTTTAGTACCGAAAGCTTAGAAAGCCGTCTAATGCTTTCAGGGAGGGTAACAAAATTGTTTCCACTAAGATATAATTCTTCTAAAGAGGACAAGTAGCCAATATCTTCTGGAACTGCTCCTTCACAAAGATTCAAGTCTCTCAGATCTAATACCTTCAAAGAACATAAGCCTTTTGAAGAAGTGAACACTGAACAACCCAAAGAGTGGGGAATCCTTCTTTTAAAAATCCCAAAAAGTATACCATGATGCAGGAGATCCAGAAACAGATAACTTTTTTAGATTTTTCAAATGAACAAGTGAAGATGGCAACTCTTTTAATGCAGTTTGACTCAAATCAAGTTCCTCCAAACAGTCCATCACCCCCAAGCTTTCGGGGAGTTTGCTAAGTTTTGAGCACCCTAACATGGTGAGAAGTTTAAGAGACTTGCAATTAGAAATGACACTTGGAACACACAAGAGACTTCAACAACCATCTAGATGTAGTTCAACAAGGCCAATCAGACATCCAATTGATGGAGGTATTTCCTTAATAGCAGTCTCACTTAAAATAAGACGTGACAGATTTTTCATGTCTCCAACAAACTCCGGAATCTTTTTAGATTGACACATCGAGAGAGACTCAGAAATTCAAGAGACTCCATTGCTATCTCACTTGGGAGACGCTTCATACTCATACAATTTTTAAAGTTCAAAATCTTAAACCTTTTGAGAGCTGCAATGGATGGGTGGATCTCAATTAAATCGTAACAACCTTCAAGTACTAACCTCTTAAGATTCTGAATTTCTGTGAAATCTGGGGTCCTGATTAATTTTGAGTAACTAAGATCCATATGTTTCAAATTGGACAAGCGCTGCAGAATAATAGCAAGTGGTGATTAGATTAAAAACCCTTGATTTATAAAAAGGTTGTAAAAATGCAAACATAAATACGTCTATATACATACTCCATCAGTGTACCTTTCTTCCATTCCAAAGTCGAACAATTTCACTAGTAGGCAAACTAAGAACGGTAAGAGAGTCCGGTTCAAAACTTGGTGGAAGAGATTTGGATGGATAATATCTCCACTCCAGAAATCTAAAAGAATTAGGAAGAACTTCAAAGCCAGGAGAAAGGAACAAAAGATTAAATTGGATCATCTTTAGATTATACATCTTAGAGAACGCTTCAAAATTACAGTGTGCTTCTTCACGCTTTGGCAAGTGTAATACTATGCCTTCAATATCTTCTGTTCCCTGATGAAAAAATAAAGGAGAAATTAGTTCCATGACCAATTCCTAAATCGTTTTAGAAGAAATTATAGTGCTGTATATCTAAGCTTGATATTTCTGCATAATTTCTTACCATATTATTCTTTAATACATGAAAAATTTCCTCACGAAGCCACAACCAACTACGTCGTCCAGGCTCTTTAGACTTTCTACGAACAATTTTCCATGTCATTTCCTGCACCAAATCATGCATCTCCAGATTCTTGCCTGAAATATATAAAAGAGATTTCTCAATGAGAACATCTATCCCGATACATCCAGAAAAGTCACAGCAGTCAAGTATTTCAATTACTCTATCCTTGTCATTTCCCTTATGGAAGCATGCCACATCAAGAAAAACATTCTTCGTCATATCATCTAGTACGTCATAACTTACTAGAAGCGTTTTAAAAGTTGTCTCTTCTGGATCTTTCTTTAGTTTATCCAATGTACTTGTCCATGCACCTTGATCCCTTCCACACAAAAAGATTCCCAAAGTTTTCAGAGTTAAAGGAAGTTTGGCACCATATTTAACAAAAGCTTTTGACAATTCCAGGTATTCGTCATTCGGATCATTTTTAAAGGCATGCCAACTAAAGAGCTGAAGAGCTTTATCTTCACTTAATCCCATAAGCTCAAATTGTTTGATCTCAACGTCATGTGAGACCAGCAACCGTAGATCCCTAGTTGTAATGATGATTCTCCTCCCCGCACCAAACCAGCGTTTGTCTCCAAATAATAATTCCAACTGCTCTAATTGATCCACATCATCAAGAACGAGAAGAACCTTTTTATTCCATAAAAAATTCTTTATCATCATGCTCCCACCATAATACCCCCAAACCTGTGTAATTTTTTCCTTCAATATCGGGGAAAGAAGTTGTTTTTGTAGATTAACAATACCATGTTTCGCCGACACCTCCCTAACATTGGCTAGAAAGGAGCAAACTTCAAATCTATGAGAAATTCTCTACAGCACGGACGTCATTGGCCTCAATGTCTAAAAGAAAATCTAGTTGCTCTATTTTTGTAGATTAACAATACCATGTTTCATTTATAAGTTCCGTTTCATATCTACACGAAAGAAAAAGAAAACTGTAAAGAACGAAACCTTTAATGCGTTACTACTATAGGACTGATCGGTTAAATGGTCCAGGGTGTTACCTGTCCTTTGAAGCCCATCCAGCAAGATTCCCCAATTTTGTTAAAAGAGCTCTCCAATGCCGCACCTTTGCTGAATCCTCCTGAAAGTTCTCTTCATGCCTGTCAAAGGCTTCCGCGAAAGTTCCCATTTGTTTTCGGGCATGGGAGGGATCCACATCATAAGACACTCGCAAAATTCTGTTTCTTGCTTCCATGCAATAAAAAATCTTTGAAAGTTCATCCAAGCACCAGGAGGACGAAGCGTAGTTTGGAGAGAGAACCACCATGGCGAACCTCGATTCCTCAATTGCACGAAAGAGCTCCGGAGATATAGATGCGCCTCTTTTGAGTTCTGGGTCGTCCTTCAAAGTATTGATGCCGCGCCACAGCAGTTTGTCGTATCAATGGCCTATGAAATTCTTGCGGGAGTCTTCACCCCTGAAACTCAAGAAAACGTCATACTTCCATTGGGGAGGTGAAGACGAACCAGAGCCGGAGGCTCTTGGATCGGTCATCGCCATTAGCCGACCCAGGTTGCGGCAGAGATATCTGGTAATTAAAAGTTGAGCAACAGATATACCAAATTTTTGAAACTCGAAACTGGAAAGACAATGTAAGTTAAGATATGTGCAGTAGAAGAAGATGGTGGATCGGAAGGGAAAATGAATACCTATCTGGAGAAGGATGGATAGTGAGACCACTGGAGCAAGTAGTAGCAAGTGGGTGGCTGATGGATATGCCTTGGTAGCAAGTAGCAGTAGTCTAAAGAGTGAAAAATTTCAAGATTACTCCAGATATTCTGAAATTGAAGATTGTGATCTGATCCGATTCAATTTCAAAAATTTTGAATGAAAATTGAAAATATTATTTCCAACCCGGCACATCAAACAATCACCATCTCTCCTTTCTCCACAACCTTGTTAAGTGAAGCCAAATAGAGGCCGGCAATTCTACCCTACAAGATCGGATGTTAGCCACCTCGAATTTGCAAGCTGGCAACATCTCAATTTCTTCTTGTTTTTTATACAAGTCACATTTCAGAGAGAGTGAACGCTCTTCACTAATTAGAACAAGCATCCCCTTGCGGAAAATTGTACTCAATTCACTAAAATTCCTTACCACTCGATCACAATGTCAAGATGGTAAACTCACAACACACACAGCTGGACAATATAGCAAGACAGAGCAATAAAACAGGAGGAAAACAGCGCAAGCAAAGGGAAGCATCTCTCTCTAAGTACAAATCTACTCAATTTCATGCCTCAAACACATTAGTAGATACTAGATAGCTGTAGATAGATCGATAACTGATATCTAGTATCTACAATGTTTCCCAACAACGAACAAAGAACGGAAAAGAGAAGAAACAGAAAAACCCAACAATTAACTATAAGCACATAAGTTAGTCAAGGTTCGTAAATCCCTCGTTAAATTAAACAACGCTTTATTCAAGGACCTGTTGGTCTTATAATCCCTGAATCGGAAGGTACACTAAGCTCCTGTATTTATCCCTGGCTGAATTAAAGTATCTCCTAAAGCATCCACTCTTCTGGATTTGAGCATTCACAGTTGCTAGCTGGTTATGCGCATTCATAGTTGCGAGCTAGTTTGGAGCATTCATAACCAGCGCCAAGCCTGACACTGCTGATACAGACTTCCACCGGGATCAAGTAAAAGATATGCAGCATCTCTTGGCTGCAATTGCCACAAAGACAACACCTAAGAGTCCCAATGCACACATGAAATGGACAGTACCTTTGTTGGCCCTGTGGGTGAAGATCAAGGAGAAAATCCTTGCAAACATCACATCTTGGATGATGCTGCCCCTTGGTGATGCTTGCCTATCCTCTGAAGTCCACCGAGCGATATTAACCACTTTTGATAAAGCAGCTCTCCAGTGTTGCGCCTTTGCTAAGTCTTCTCTGAAGTTTCTTTCGTGCTTGTTGTAGAATTCACAAAAGTCCCCATTTGGTTTCGAACATTTGTAGGGATCCACATCATAAAATATTGGCAAGCTTGCATTCCTAGCTTCCATGCATTCAAGAATCTTTTAAAGTTCATCCAAGCACCAGGCGGAGGAATCATAATTCGCGGAGAGCGACGCCCAACCTTGATTTTTCTATTGCACACGAGATCTGGAGAAACATTTTTGCCTCTTTCAAGTTCTAGGTCGTCTCTGAAAGTTTTTAATCGCTCGAGTTGCAATGTGTCATATAAATGATCTGTAAAATCCTTGCGGGTATCTTCACCTGTAAACCTCAAGAACACATCATATTTCCATGGGTGAGCTGAGGAAGTAGGTGGCACAGAAGCTCTGCTCAACCCCGTTGCAAAGTGATCCCGAGAAATGTGCTTCAAATACTGATCATTACCATCGAATCATTTCTAAACTGGTTCGTAGAATAAAAGGTTCAGACCAAAAATAAAAAAGAAAAAGAAAAAGCAGTGTATCACAAATTTCCTATACCACTAAGCTAGTCTCGAACAATACATAATATGCAATCTGCTCAATACAACCAATTAATACACAAAAAGATGATAAATGACACCAAAATGAAGAAAATCATACCTTGATTCTAGTTCCACCACTTTAAAGCACTGCAATCTTTTGAATTTAAGTCTAGGAAGTGAACTATACCTTCTATAGGGTCTTCGTTTCGGGGCAGTGACTCTTGAATGCTAGCAACAGTTTATACTTAATAATAGGGATGTACGAAAGTAAACTGGAACTACGCTATAGCTGAAATCAAGGTAGGGGTTCATTGGAGCCTCTGTAATCATACCTTGACGGTGTTTTTGGAACGGAAACAGTGGAGAGAGGGAGATGCAGGGGAAACCTAAGAAGAACTGAGGAAGGGATGATGCCCTTTGATTTTCATGAAAAAGAGTATTGGAGTGGGAACTGCATGTACCCTCTCTGTTTTAGCTCTGCAGAGGCCTTTCAATAAAGGACCTTTCCTTTGACTTCTGTTTACAAACAATAAAAATTTAATTTTGGTTTCCAGGTAGGGGCACTTGATTTTTGACAAGTTCTTAAGCTATGTTACCTAGATGGTTTTGTTTTATAATTATTAAGTACTAGTAACTTGTTTGGATGACTAATCAGCTTAATAATCAAAAGTGTGAATGTCAGGCTTCTGGAAACTCCTTCAGCGTACCTTCATCTGCCAGTGGAGAAGATCTGACATTCATATCGATCCCAGACTCTGTCTTCAGAATGTCCATGGTCGGATTGTGCAGAGGTGAGGACAGCTTGCACATTGTCTTGTTTTGTGGTAGGATGAAGATCTGACATTCATATATTCACTCAGATTTCATAACATATTGTTACTTATCTGGTGTTTAGTTCAATATGCTGCTGTCTAACAGTACTCAACAAACATATTCTACACCAACCAAAACACCCGACCTTCAATTGCCACATGACACTTAGAATTACTGGTAAAAGTCCTGCAAAGTTAGTAGCCCCTCCATACTATGCCTTGCAATTCAAGGACCAAAACACAAACCCATCATCAAATTTACTGACTAAATGGTAGTGCAAAAGGCACGAGGGAAAACACAGCTAATTTTACCAAACTTTTCAGTGACGCTGATGAAATTGTAACTACTGCGTGGCAATATTGTCCCAGTTCTATCTTCCTAGGAGAAAAATTGTAACAGATAGGGAGGGAACATATTTAAAAACAACAATTTGAGTGAATATACCAAGTAATGTATGTAACAATGCATAGATACTGATAGGCATTGAAATTGTTAGGTAGCTCATTTAGTCAGGTTTCCTTCTCTCTATAGGTAGGGAAAAAAGGAATTGTAGCAACACAGATGCACATTCACCTGAGTAACTTACATGACAAGTACGCATGAATAGATTGCTGTAAATAAAAGAGTAAGCCAACACAAATCTGCATCATAAGAATATACAAGAGTAATTTATCTAACCATAAATTGATAGGCATTACCATTTTCATTATTCTGGGAAAGAAGGAAAACATATATATGCATATTGATATAGTATCCAACTGGAACTACAACTTGGGATAGAGTTTAAATTTTGAAATTTATGTCTATCCACTAAATATATCTCAAAATTTAAACTCATCTAAAGGTGATAAGTAAGGTGGTAAGCATCATCATCCCTTCTACTTCTAGACAATGTCAAAATGAAACAAAAAATCGAAAAAAGGGATAAAGAGAGGATTTCACCAAATGAATACATGAAATCATCAAGTGGAAGCAACACCAACACCAACATTGACACCGAAATCTTGCATCTGCTGCAGCTCCTTCCTCTTAATATACTGATTCAGAATGGCAAGCCTGGCAGTCTCGAAAGCAAAGTAACCCAATGCCGAAAAGCAAGCGCTGTGAAGAACTCTGGGTCCCACTCCTCTCGTAAACCCCACCCACCCCTCCTCCATTAAAATCTGCTTCACCGTCCCCGAAACCCCGCCCTGCGCCGCACCAGTCATCAGCCTCGTCTTCACCACATCAAGTGGCGTCGTAATGGAGGCCGATATTGCTCCGGCTAACGCCCCGCACACCACGCTCTGTATCGGCTCCAAATTGGTCTGCTTCGTCTTGCTCAGCACCGCCGATTTCAGGTACTCGAACGACGAATAGCTCAGCACGCCCGCAGGCAAGTTCCTAAGCAATGTGGCAGAGTACCCTGCGTAAAGACCCAGAAAGCCGTCGTTTTCAAGGATCTTGAGCAGCACCTGCCACGACCTCCCTTTGGCCCCGGCTTGCATCCGCTGCGTGATGAGCTCCTTGGGCACCATTATCGCGGAAGAGACTATGTTGCCCATGGCTCCGGCCGTGGGAGGGATGAGAACGGGAGGGTAATTGGGTAATTTGGAGAGAACCGACTTACCCAGTTCGCAGGTGCCGAAGTAGACGGCGGAGGAGGCGGTGGAGCCGACGATGACGGCGGAGATGCCGCTGTAAAACCCCGAAATGCCCTTGGTTTGGAAGGTCTTGAAAACTGCATCGAAGGTGTTTGCGTAAATGTCTGAGGCGCCCTTGGTCTGGAGCTTGGTCTTAATGGTGTCCAGAGGATGGAGGCAGAAGTAGGTGAAGGCTCCGGCTATGCCTCCGCCGCCTGCGCCGATGAGAGCGCGCTCGAAGACGGTTAGGTTCTTGAGTAGGATTTGGGTCTTGGGGCGGGTACTGGGTCGGGTAATGGAGGCCCAATTGAGGGTGGAGGAGGTGGTGGAGGCAAAGAATGGGATCTGGTTTTGGGTAGAGGTGAGGGCAGTTTGGGGATTTGGAGTGATGAAATGGGTGAAGAGGTTGAGGAAGTCATTGGACGACTGAGTGTGGTGGTTTTGATTGGGTGCGGGGAGGCCGAGAGAGGCTGAGAGTCTACCATCCATGGCTGGCTCGCTCAATTCCTTCTCGCTCCCTGTGGAGATGGAGGTGGATGTGAGCTTTTATTATCGACTAGTCACGGAGGAGCGAGGGCCATGCAAAATGAAACTGTACGAAGTCGGTAGGTAGCTGTTTCCTGTACGTGGACACGAGAATGACAACTCGGGTTGTATTTTGGGAGGAATAGTGCGTTCGGAATACGGTATGATACTTAGTTACAAGTAGAATACTTAAAAACAAAGAGTTTCATTTATTGTACGGAGCGTGTTCCTGTAACACTGAAAATTTTCTTGTATTTTGAACTAAACCCAAATTACTATCAAACTTTCTTTCTAGATTTTTTTTTTATATCATACGATAATTTACACAAATCTAAACTACCAAAAAGAAATTTGAACTTGGTTAGAAAAAGAAGTACATTATTTTAACTAACTTGATTATTATGCAGATTTTCTTTCTAGATATTTGTTGTGGACCAATATGTTCGTTTTTCTTCTTCTTGGGCCACACTTTCAATTTTGTGGTGTAACTTAGATTAAAATGATATATACGCAATCGCGTTGATGTAAGTTATTCTTAAAGTTTAGTTAGTTGTGTCTTTTGGTACGCATACAACTCTTTCATGTAGAGGTGTTACTGTAGTAGTACAGTCTGACCGGCCCGAGCACGGCACAAACACTAAACCGTATTGATTGCAGACATCTTAAAATGTGTACGGAGGAAGTAGCTAGCTAAATATGCAGGTTTATTCACCTAATAATTTGATGAAAACAAGTTAAACACAACAAATAACAGACCATACAGTTTCGTTCCTTCATAAGCAAAACAATCGAAAACCGCTTTGACATTTTCTTCCCCATTCTGCAAACAACAACATTATTTAAAGAGTCACCAAGAAGGGCTTGATGAGCTTACAGATCGATCTTTCGTTTAACACTACGACTAATTACTTACATACAATGTTCTCCGAAATCAACAGAATATTGGTTTAGCAATCATTGTTATCTGCCTATATCACTCTACAAGAGGAAAATTTCCTGTGGTTCGAATATGTTCAAGGGTACTCCCTAGACCGTGCTTGCGCACTGCTTTGATAGCTACTGTGGATGCTTCTCCATACTCCAATAACCGAATTGTTCGTTTCCTGTATTCAAGAAGCTTCTTCTCAAATTCGGACAGTTGTTTAGATCCAACAAAACTAGAGGAGGAGGCAACATGATCAGTACTAGACCGAGAATGCATCTGCTGAGACTCCAGCCACATGCGCGAGAAGGCCAGACAGATACCTTCTTGCACTTCTTGTCTTAGATTCGGATATCCATTAATCCTTATCCATGCTTGCATCATCACTTTCGCTAGCGATGATCCCATTACAAACCGAGGAAGGCCACGCCAGATGAGAACTGTTCTCCTGTCCACCAAGTCCACCGGAATTTGCAACCTCATGTTTAAATCGTGACAGAATTTTTCTACTTCATTGTAGAGGGATTGGCATTTGTTAGTACTCCTGATTGCCAACTTTTGACACTGTTGACATAGCAAATAATCACCAAGATACATATATTTGGCATCCTTCGGCGCAAATCTGCCACAACTATAGCACCAAACAGTGCCATCGCCCCAATGCAAGGGGCAATAAACTTCTTGCCAAATACGGTATTCCCAATGGTTCGTTACACCATCTAAATTTTCCGGGACAAAATTCTTGCAAACAACACAGGTAAGATAGCGTTGATAAGGATGCACCTTACTGCTGGATTCGCCTTCTGCCAAATGAAGTTGTGCCAGTTGTTCGTGACCGTCCTCAGATTGAGATTCTTCATCGAGCAGCTGTTTCTCGGTAAGTGTCAAATAAAACTCTCCAGGTTCATCTCTTTTTAGGGCTTTCCAATGACAGAGCAGCGAAGATTCGTTCTTGTGTAGCCCCAAGAGCTCATATGGTTTGTCTATAAGATATTCCACTAGCAAACGCTCGTTTCTGGTTGTAATAATGATTCTACTCCCTGGACCATACCAATTCTTTTTTCCAGCCAATGTTTCCATTTGATTTAATTCTTCCACCTCATCAATAACCAGAAGAACTTTTTTCTTACAAAAACATTTCATTGCCATATTCGACACACTGGAAGCATCCCAAACTTGCACGACTGTCTGCAACGCTGCTGAAACCTCCTTGACATTACCAATAAATCTGCAAATTTCAAAGTTGTGGGAAATTCCCTCGTAAACAAGTCTAGCTAGAGTTGTCTTACCTGTTCCCCCCTCACCCCATATCCCTATAAAGCGAACATCATTTGCTTCAAGATCTAAAAGCGAATCTATCTTCTTTAATCTAAACTCAATTCCGACTAATTTCTTTCTTGAACCTAACAATGTGCATGTAGGATGCACTTTGTGACATATTGTGTCAACAATTTCTTTGATCAGATCATTATCGTACCTACATCAACAGCAAACAAAAACAAATAAACATGTTTGAACTAAGAAAATCTTACGCAACAAATATGTATAAGATATACTACTATTTCATTTATGCATACCTATCTTTTGAAATCCACCCAAGCATATTACCCACTTTTGTCAACGCAGTTCTCCAACGTTGCACCTTTTCTGTGTCACTCATAAAGGTTTTCTCATGCTTGTTGAATGCTTGCGCGAAAATCCCGGTTTGTTTTCTAACATGGGAGGGATCCACATGGTAGAAAATTGGTAGAATGGTCTTCCTATCTTCCATGCATTCAACAATATGTGAAAGCTCATCTAAGCACCAGGTGGAAGAAGCATAATTCGGTGAGAGGACAATGATAGCAAACCACGATTCTTCAATTGCATTCAAGAGCTTTAGAGAAATAGTGGTGCCTCTTTCAAGTTCATGATCATCCCTGAAAGTTTTGATTGCTCGCTCCACCAATTTTTCATATAAATCATCTGTAAAATTATCCCTTGTGTCCTCACCCCTGAAACTTATGAACACATCGTATTCCCACGGAGCAGCAGCTGGAGACTTGGAGACTCTCTGCTTGCTCAACGCCATAGGAAAATGATGGAAGCACTTTGCATCAAATTCTCCAAAAGATGCACGCGATACTGTCAAACCCTTGGGAGACAACAATTTGCGGGGAAATATGAAGGCAAAACAATACACACTATATTTCCTGCGCTGATTTCATTTGAAATATTACATCACCTCTTATGGAAACAACACACAACTAGTAGTACAAGCAACTTGGTCTTAGATGTAATCACAGAGACATGGAGGGAGGGAGGGAGGGAGAGAGAGAGAGAGGGAGGGAGAGAGAGAGAGAGAGAGAGAGAGAGAGAGAGAGAGAATGTGTGAATACAGAGAACATAGAAATTACTGGGTAGGCAAAGATTATTCGAGGAATAATTAATGACATTATTTTGAACTGGAAGGCTTTGGTGAAAAGCTTCTTTCCTTTCACCTAAAAACAAAGAGTTTATTTCCTTGGAGGAGCCGTCTATTTTTGGACACTTCTTACATGCTAATGTTTTGGAAACTGGCAGAGGAACAAACCCTTCGTAAGACCTTTTTTTTTTCTTTAAATTATTTTGAAAATGATTTTTATTAGAAACACTCCAAACTTCCATTAAAGAATAATCATGTGATACCTACAAAAGCGCTTGAAAGTATTTTTTGCAGAAGCACATGACAGGTGCCAAAATGCCTCTACGACCCAAAAATGGTTTCTAGTTTTTCTGCAAAACATAGTAAAAAACACTTTTAATTATTAGAAGGGTAATGCTAGAGAGACCAAATTTTTTAAACCAAATTATGTTGTTGTTGTTGATGATTAGATTATTATTTAGGCGTTGATTAACGTGCTTATTTCATATTGGTAACACATCATTTAGTTTTGAAACTTGATTTAAAATTTTGATCTCCCAACATTACCCTTATTAGAAACGCTTCTAGTTCCTGTAGAACTTTTAATTTCAAACAGAGCCTTAGTCAACTTGTTTTGTTTTTTTCAAGTGAAGATATTCCACTTTGCTAAAAAAATATGTAGTCATGAAGCAAAATACACTAACTGCTGAAAAACCGCATTTCTCATAGAATACTCTGTTTTCGTTACTGCAATCAAGATTCACCTTATAAGACCCAACCGAATGAGCATGATCCGTGCAGAAATTAATATTTTCGTCCCTAACTGCATCCTACTGGCCACGGGCATCAGCCTCGACCACAATATCGTCAATGTGACTGACATTGCCACAGTTCCGTATGAACTTCTTTTCGATGAACACACTTCGAGTTGCAATAATCTTCCTCGAGTGGTCATCTTCTATAACACAGATACCATGGTCACCTCCGAGGGAGCTAATCGGAATATCTATCTGCAAACTCCTTGTCTGATACAGAATCACAAAATGGTTAGCTGTTGCAATAGTTGTATGAAACCCTTGCTTTTGTCCCACGTCTCTAAATTTTCTGACTCAAAATATTTGCCCTTTACAGCTCTGCATGTCTGCAGAAAGAGCAGTACTAATTCTCAGACGCATTTCATCGAACACGTAATGTGCCACGTTCTCATATGCTTTCTTACGAGAATAAATTAACAAATTAGAAGCAAAATCACACCCAGAATTCTGAAAAATTTGCCTTCAAGAATTGAAATTACCTCAAAAAGGTTGGAAATTTCTTTCTCTCAGACAAAACGTATATAAAGCATCCAACCAACATTTGCTTGGTCGATGTGGGAGTTTTTCCTCATTGCTATTCTGAAATGCAGCGTATGGCATGCTATCTCTTGACATGTACAAATAGATGATGGACAAACTCCCTATGGGATGCTGACTCTAACTCACCCTAGTCAACTTGTTATTGTCATGAATGAGCATATTTTTAATGTTTGTCGGATTAATTTATTTGCTTTTTGAAGGGTTGAAAACCGAATTATAACAATATCGAAATTACTTTTGTATGACACACAAGTCCAAGCGCGTTTTTATATTTTCTTTTGATGTTGTTAGGAACTTATAGCTC